GACACGCGTCCGCCGCAGCGAGCGGTGTCCAGGCTCTGCTCGTAACAGCAAACGTTTGTGTGAAGGGTTTCGGGGTTTTTTTTTCCCCGCCCCATCTCATTTTGAGGAGTAGTTCGTCTCCTGAGGCCGCCTGTTGATCGTGGGGCCGCCTGTTCCTCGCAGTTGTGCTGAACAAGCGGTTGGGTTGGTGGGGTTTCACTGAGGAACTGGGAGTGAGCTCCGTCCCGAAGCCTTTCTGTGTCTGTGGAAGCTGAAGCTGCTGTCGTGAGAGGGGCCAGAGGAGTAGCTGTGGGGGCTAATAGCTTTACATATAATCTGTGGCAATGGTGAGGACTGTTAGGGGGAAGGGCTGGTTCCGCTCGTGTTGGAAGACATGAGGCGTTTTGGTTGGGAAGAATGGGGAGGTTTTGGTGGTGTTGGGTATTGACTGGGCCAGGAGCAGTTCATGCTGGCTGTGTTTGAACTTGTGCATGATACAAGTGTGATTTCGGCTGCTTGAAGCCAGGCTCCCCAGGTGCCCTGGCAGAGCCTGTTGTAGGACCCAGGCCCCATCCTGTTGCTTGTTTTCAGATGAAGCTCTGTTTGTGTTGCCCTTTGTTGCCAGTTTGCTTCAACATGCAGCTTAGGTAAGAATTCATAGAATCACAGAATGGTTTGGGTTGGAAAGGACCTTAAAGGTCATCGAGTTCCCGCCCCCAGCCATGGGCAGGGACACCTCCCACTAGCCCAGGTTGCTCAAAGCCTCATCCAGCCTGGCCTTGAACCCCTCCAGGGATGGGGCATCCACAGCTTCTCTGGGCAACCTGGGCCACTGCCTCGCCACCCTCACAGTGAAAAATTTCTGCCTAAAATCCAACCTAAATCTCCCCTCTCTTAGTTTAAAACCATTCCCCCTCGTCCTGTCACTATCAGCCCCTGTAAATAGTTGTTCCCTCTCCTGTTTACAGGCTCCCTTCGAGTACTGGAAGGCTGCAATGAGGTCTTCCCGGAGCCTTCTCTTCTCCAAGCTAAACAAGCCCAGTTCCCTCAACCTTTCTTCATAGGAGAAGTGCTCCAGCCCTCTGACCATCTCCGTGGCTCTCCTCTGGACTCTCTCCAACAGGTCCAGGTCTTTTTTATGTTGGGGGCCCCACATCTGAACACAGCACTCGAGGTGGGGTCTCACAAGAGCAGAGTAGAGGGGGAGAATCACCTCCCTCTCCCTGCTGGCCACCCTATTTTTAATGCAGCCCAGGACATCGTTGGCCTTCTGGGCTGCAAGCGCACACTGCTGGCTCACGTCCACCTTCTCGTCCACCAGGACCCCCAAGTCCTTCTCCACAGGGCTGCTCTTAAGGAGTTCTTCTCCCAGTCTATACAAGTACCTGGGATTGCCCTGGCCCAAGTGCAACACCTTGCACTTGGCCTTGTTGAACCTCGTTAGGTTCTCATGGGCACACTTGTCCAGCCTGTCCAGGTCCCTCTGGATGGCATCCCTGCCCTCTATTGTATAAACTGCACCACTCAGCTTGGTGTCGTCTGCAAATTTGCTGGGGGAATTACAGGAGCATGTGTTTATACTTGTAGTAAAGAGTCAAAATGGATTCATTTCACTGTTCATAGTGTCGTATTTAGTGCATGCCATAAAAAATGTTGGTGTTTGCTGTGCTATTGAATCCCACTTTTTTCAAAGCCAGGCCACATTCAGTTAAGTAATTCCTATCATACTTTGCTAAGGGAGATATACTAAAGTAGTGTGGGTGCAAAGGAATAGACTTAACCAGATGCAACACAGTAAATCTCTAGTAGAAGTAGAAAACAGAGATTTCCAGATCTTCGTAGCTCTAGAATTATGGATCATAGTCTGCCATGATGCTGTGTAACATTCAAACTTTGCCAAAGAGTTCTTAGGGGATCATTCACTGAGTTGTGTAGTGGAAGCTGGAGAGGACAGAGCTATGCTGCCCATAACTGTAAAATAGAATGGGCTTCCTTTATGCTGTGTACCTACTGGGAGCCAAGCTTCACAGCTTTTATTTAAGCATGTCTGTAAGCATGGTGGGTAGCTTTTATATTTTGGTGGTAACTGGTGAAAGGAAGAGGCAAGATTTTCATAGGATATTAACAGGATTTCTAATTTTGCTCTGGATGGCAACTTTTAAAATGAGCTGTGAGAGCTGAGATCTCTCTAAGTGACTACCTCAGTGAAGGGCTCATGTGTTGGGGGGTTAGAACCACAAACTTGCAAGGTGTGTGTGTGGAGACTTGAATGCTGCTGTTCTCCATTGCTGAGTACTGAGATCTTCTGAGGCTGTAGGTTGGATCCCCAGAGGCAAAGGAAAGGAATTGAACTCTTCAGTGGGACTTCTGCTGAGGTTCCTGCTGCTTGTGCTTTACAATACTGGTAGCTGTTGCACTAGATCTACTGCAAAACTCCAGAGTATGTGTACTGTTGCAAAGACCTCTTTTGACTGTCTGTGTTCTTGGCCATGCAATAACAATCTTCTCTTTTGCTTTCACTTGATAGGTATAATGTTTCCAACATGTCTGTGCAGTCGCTGCTTTGTGAAAGAATTGCTGTTGCCAAAGAATTGATCAAGAGAGCGGAAGCCCTTTCCAAGTCCCAGAAAAGGCGAATAGAAGGTGGTGCAAAACTATGTAGCAAACTGAAGGCTGAACTAAACTTCTTACACAAGGTGGAGGCAGGGAAGGTGGCCATTAAAGAATCCCATTTGCAGAGTACAAACCTCACCCATCTCCAAGCCATTATTCAGTCAGCAGAGAACCTGGAGGACATTGTCAGTGTCCTCCATGTCTTTGCTTACGAGGACAGGTTTGGAGACAAACAGACGCTGGTGGTAGATGTTGTCGCAAATGGAGGTCACACGTGGGTGAAGGCCATTGGTCGGAAGGCTGAGGCCCTACATAACATCTGGCTAGGGAGAGGCCAATACGGTGACAAAAGTGTTATCGAGCAGGCAGAGGACTTCCTGCAAGCAAGCTGTCAGCAGCCAGTGGAGTACAGCAATCCCCACATAATCTTTGCATTCTACAATGGCGTGTCCTGTCCTATGGCAGAGAGGCTCAAGGAGATGGGAATATCTGTGAGAGGAGACATTGTGGCTGTGAACTCACTGGTGGAGCCATCTACAGAAAACCAGTACCTTAGTGCTAGTGAATCAGATGAAGAAGGCCCTGAACTCCCGCAGGTGACCAGAGTAGACCGGGAGAATTTAGTGGCCAGCATTGCTTTTCCTACCCAGATCAAAGTAAATGTGTGCAATAGAGTCAACTTGGACATCACAACCTTAATAACCTACGTCTCTGCTCTGAGCTATGGTGGCTGCTACTTCATCTTCAAAGAAAAAGTGCTAACAGAGCAAGCGGCTCAAGAAAGGAGGGAGAGAGTCCTGCCTCAGCTGGAAGAGTTCATGGAGGGGAAAGAGCTCTTTGCCTGTGAGTCTGCTGTCAGAGATTTTCAGTCCATCTTGGAAACACTGGGAGGACCTGGGGAGAAAGAGCGAGCTGCGTTGCTTGTGAAAAGAATTAATGTGGTGCCAGATCAGCCGTCTGACCGTGCCTTAGGACTAGTGGCTAGTTCAAAAATCAATAGCCGTTCTCTTACCATTTTTGGAACAGGAGACACTTTAAAAGCCATCACCATGACTGCAAATAGTGGTTTTGTGAGGGCAGCGGCTAACCAAGGTGTCAAGTTCAGTGTTTTTGTCCATCAGCCACGAGCGCTGACAGAAAGCAAAGAATCTGTTGCCACACCTTTACCAAAGAGCTGCCCACCTGATCATGGACTATAAGTCGTTAAAAGAGTTACTCATTGAAACGTTGCAGGTGCAGCAGTGGAAGCATTTGGAGAAGCAGAAGAATCATGACAATACATTTTTGGATGTGTATCAGTGAAAACAGTAACTGTAGCAGTGGAAGGCTTCCTCAAGGGATTTGCAGTATCTATACTCAGTCCTTAGGGGTTTTTTGTTCAGCTGACCGTTAATTTATTCACTAAGGTAGTGAGATTTCAGTGAAAATTGTTAATTGGCTTACAGTATATTAATTGTATCCATCCATATTAAAAAGTTCATTTAAAGCACAGTTGCTCTTGTGCCCTTGTCATTTTTTTCCCTCTTCGGAGAGATTAAATTCAGCACCTTAGGGTAGACTTCAGATTTTACTTTTATGGAGCTTTCTTTCCATCTTTCTTTCACCTATCCTATGCAATGGAACTCTTGGTTGATTCAGAGGTACCTTGTGTAGAGACCTGTGCCTTTTTGGGTGTATGCTGTTTCCTGAAGATGTGACTAGTAGCCATGAATAGAAACCAACTTAACCCTTCCTTCTTTTACTGAAAGGAATGTCTGTATGTGTGCCATGTTAGACTGAATTGGGCAACAGCTTTAAAATTCCTGGAAAAATCAGTTGAAATTGGAGTTTCTTGGCACTAATATGTTGTGACTCTTGGGCCAAACTGGACAGCTACTGGTAGCAGACCAAGGAGGCAAATCTGCTTCCCTTTTCTCTTAGCCTTTGCTCCAGTGTAAAGTCTTGCTGGGTGCAAAACCCAGCTTGAGGCCTCAGATAGCAGAATCTTCTTAAACTGAGCCTGTGCCCAGGTTTATTTTAATACTAGCGGAATCTCTGCTGCGAACTCATGGTGAACTTGAATGTGGCTTTGTTGCTTGTGAATTACCTGAAACAAAGCCTCACTGAGGTCCTTCAGTGTTGGAATGGCAGAGGAGGAGGTTTGTGGGATATGTTGTTAATTTCTGGTTTGCCATATAGTAGAGAGAAGCTTTTTCACTGCTCCTGTAATTGTTTGTTCTACTCAAAATGTAGAAGAAACAATTTATTCTTTTTCTTTCTCTTTTTTTTTTTTTTTTTTTTAAGAGAGAGTTGCTGTTTTAGAAGTCTTTCTAGAAAGTTTTTCTGTATGCTGTAATTACAGCACTTGCTGTTTGGTATTAATTTGCATCAGGTTCCTAGTGGAAAATTTTGAGATGTCAGAGTGAACCTCTTGGCCCTGAGCTATACATTTTATCAGGCCAGTGAAAGAGACACCCACTGAATATTTTATAGGCTGTTGTACAACAAGGTAGCATTATTATGCAGCTTACAGTTCAGGCAAAGAACATTCCCTTGTCTCTTGCCACTCCACTCTAAATTTCTTCCTACAGTCCAAAGTAGCTGCAGTACTGCCCTTAGCTATAGTCCCTCCCTATTTCTGTCTCCAGGACTCTGGTATATTCCAGCACTGGTGTAGAGATAGTGGCATGCCAGCAAAACTGCTCTGCATGCCTCTTCTAGCTGAGTAAGCTTAACTCCAAGAAGCAAAAGTGTCAGTACAACTCTTGCTCTGCCCTGTTCTTACTATGCCTTTAGAGTAACCTCTTAGGAGCTGTCATCAGTATCCACATGCTGCATATTTTTACCTGTAACTTTTGTCAATGCAGAGGGCAGTCTGCTCTTCACCTACCCTTTGTTTCTGCTGGTTGCTGAGGTAGATAATGGGTTTTAGTTAAGTTTATGGGTGGAACTGGATTTTGGTTTTTGCTGCATCAACATCCAGTCTTCTGCCTGCCAGTTTCACAGGCCTCTCTTGGTGAGTTTTCTGACAAAACATCTGTCTTGTTCCTGCAGTCTGATGCTGTGTAACAAAACCTCATGGCAGGATACCTCCCTCACTGAATCCATTAATTTTCCTGAACGTTATTCTGAAGGGAAAGAAGGACCAAGAGAATGAAACAGTATAAATAATATGTTGGCTGTGCTGCAGAAATGGAAGCATGCCTTAATAAACAGTGCAAGCTTCGTTGTACAGGAGCTTAGAGAGACAGTACTTTATCATGGTGTGATGGATTTATCAGAGCAGGACCGCAGAGGTTTGTGAAACATTACAGTGCTGTAAACACCTGGAAGGAAAGGTGTCTTTTGTTTCTGCCATGAGAGCTCTTACTCTGCACACCTGTGTGATGTCTTTCCACTGCAGTAGGTGTGGGAGTAGAGGTGTTAGAGGACATCTGTGGAGAAAAAGAAAGAACCATGTGTCTCAAAACTGTTTCTGTTTGGTATCAGAAGTCCTGAAAGAAGGGACAAGAAACCTCTTATTGACTAATTTATGAACAAACAACCTGGGAGAGAGGCATTCTTTTTATTTGCAACTCGGAGCTTTAAAAGCTGAGGTCCCAACAGACAGGTTACTATTCATCACTGATTAATCTGGTTTACAATCTTACAAGATATACTCGAAGCTAAGTGCATGGTAAGGGTGCACTTAAGCACGGTAATTCATTAGGGCCTTTTAAGAACTAATCATTTGTATTTAAGTTAATTTGCTTGCAGCCTTTCTACCCTGATGAGGGTTTTGAATGAGTAAATGGAAGGGAGCTGCTTCATTCCACTCCTTGGTGTGACTAAGAAGTGGGTTCCTGTCATTTTCCTTGCTGTATCCCGTTCAGTACTCTCAAATATTCTCATGGGCATCCTCTAAAGAGGTTTCTCCAAACAACAGGTGAGAGGGCAGTGACTGGCATTCTTACATGGCAGGTGACCCAGAGAAAGCAGTGAAAAGCAAGTAACCTCCGTATTGCCTAGATGAGAAGGGAGCGAGCTCTGTTTGCTGTGTTTCTTCACTCCTGCTGCTGCGGAGCTGGTTGGCTTGGTTTGTAGTGATAGTGTTGTATGAACATTAAATGCAGCTCGAGTTAAAAGCCTCTGTGTCTGGAGCCATCGTGTGGTGATTTTCTTCATTACCAGTCATTTTTGCCCAACACAGTATTTGTTACTGAATCCATTTTCTTAGCAATTTCTACCAATCATATGAGCAATATTTTAGGAATATGAAACTCTGGAAATTATCTGCATGCTGCTGTGCGCCCTGAGGGTTTTTTATAGTTGTGTCTCCCTGTTGCATGGTGCAATAAAAAGCTCAGAATGTCGGTGTTCTGTTGGGTTTTTTGTTTTGCTTGTTCAATTTTGTTTTGTTTTTTAAAGCTGTTTTTACCTTTAGTGGTTTTCTGGCTTATTGGTCAAACCGAAGTGCAATGCTGGCAGACTGTAAGAATTGCTTTCTAAGCTGAAACCTGAAACTTAATGCTGGATTACAACCAAAATGTGTTTTGATTGTAATATTTGGTGGCTTTTGTATACCTATCTTCCAAGATCCTGCTGATCTATATATATCAGCAAGTGTTCTGGTTTAGTGTGTTTAGATAGCTTGTACTTAATGTCACAAATGGGGGTCTAGATGTTGGGCTTCCCTTATTTATGACTTCACAAAGGAGTAATTAGAAGATGCCAAATTATGTTTGAAATTAAGTTGAAAAAAATGGAAATCCAGTCCTTTCTTCCAATATTACACAACTGCTTTGTCTACACTACACCAGGCACTTGCGGATAAGGAGACATCTCACTTGCTGCAATGGATTTTGTTTGGTTATTTTTTTCATGAAATTTTTCAGCATCAAGTTCCTTGGCAAAGATGAATTCCTAAACTGTTTTGGAGAACCTTATTCTTCTGGCACTTTTATTTTATGTTATCTCTGTATGGTTCCGTAGTCCCCAGTGAGAGCCACCATCTCTGTTCCGTGCAGCACTCAGCTCACTCTCTTTGCTCCAGCAGTAAGAATAGCAAACAAGGAATGCTGCGGTTGATGCCGGACAGTAGAAAGCACTTGGATATTATACGAGAAATAAATAGGTAAGTTGTTCATACATTCATGTTTCTAATTTGTTTTCTACAGTTTTGTGAAACGCAAACTTATTTTTGGACACAGCTGTGTGTGTTCTTTACTTACTGTTGTTCTGACTGACAAAATTTGCAGCTAAATGACTTGCTTGTCATTGTACCTGCAAGCCGTGAAAACTCAGAGGTAGTTTTCCATGTTGCAGCCACAGCTGTGCAGAAGTGTTGTTCTTTGGTAGGTTGATGGGCTAAATAGTGGTTTGTGTTTCACACTGCCCCCCTCCTCTGATGATACATTCAGCAGACTCAAAGAAGTCTACTGAAGTCTTCTGGAGCCTGTCTGAAAATACTTTCAGAACCCTGTTCCTAGTTCCTGAAAACTGAATGTAGGCTTGATCACAACAGTAATAAAACAAGAAAACACAAGCATCAGTTATCTGAAATAAGTTTGAGAGGAAACGTAGAAAAAAATACCCTAAAATCTTTTTTGTTAAAGTTGAGGAAGGAAAGGGTTTACAATAAAGGCAAAGCGTGTATTTGCAATGACATTCTTTATTTCGGGTTATTATGCAAGCAAAACAGCACAGGTCACCTGTTATCTAATTAACCTGATACAGTAAGCAAGAATTAGATGGGGTTCTTGAACTGAAGGCTCTTGTTACAGTTTTCCTGCAAGCTGTGGTTTTAGGAACTACTCCATCTTCCAGGTTGCTGCAGGCATCACGTCTGTGTTCTTCTGCAGTGAGATCGACTCCGTAGATACCTGTGGCTGTTGCTTTTCCATCAAGATTTAACGTTGCAGTTTATTCTAGAGTAAAAACAAAGAGAGTGAATGTAAAACTACTGCATTGAGTGACAGAACTGCTTGGAATTGTGACTTTGGGGCTTTGCAGATTGTTTCCTAAGAACACCATGGAAATTAAAATTGCTCCTACATAAACTATTGTAAAGAACAACCAACCAAACAAAACCTCCTCAAGCTTTCATTGGTCAGAAGATCCTGTCCATTTAAAAGATCCTCCCCTATAGTGTCTTACGTAAGATATTCCTCTCTTAAAAGAAATCAGTACCCCCCCAAAAAACCCCAAACAACAAAACTAATAAAAAACCCGAAATAAAACCAAAAGAATTAACAACATCTGATAATAAAGCTGTGTCCCTTTATCCATTTATGAGGCTGAGTGCATGATAAAGCAGCTCACTGTGGTAAGGAGGAAGACAGAGATACAGGGCACAGAAGTTTACGCTGCAATGTGGTTACCAAAATCCAGGGGCTAGAGGAGTGAGTAGCATGAGTGCTTTATAGTGTTTTGTTTTGGTTTTTTTGCTGAGGTTCATCACGTCCATTTACTGAAGCTTTTGAGATCTCAGCACTGCCCTGGTGGTAACAGTAGTGAAGGAGATAG